TGCAAACAGTCATGTACTTTATATTTCCCTGTGCAGTAGTGTTTGTTCCTGAAAGTAATCACCATACAAGCATAGTAGCGGTGACATAACCCTCTTTCTGACTTGTAAAACTGCAAGTGAAGTTAAACTGGGATAACAAGCTAAACTATTCCGATTCTAGTTCTCCATGAAATATTCCATTTTTCTCCCGTCAAGTTAGTGACACATTTAGTGACATGCCGATAGGAGTGGGCGGGGACTCACAGTGATTGTACCCTCCTCTCCTTTGCGCACGCCTTCTTGCAGCAGAGAGTAGATCAACGATGAAGGCGCGGTAATTACTGATCTCCGCTCTTTTCCACTCGGATTGAGGAATGTATCCAAGGGAACCGAAATATCATAGGCCTGCTCCTTTGCATTTCTGCTTTCTGCTTGCTATTCAGGGCTGTCTTTATCCTCTTGTCGGCCATTCTAACGGAGGGACCAAAGTTTCTCATCAATCAAATTGTTTCCCTCTTAGATATTATGATATATGATGGCCTTTGGATTGTTATTACTACCTTTTTTATAATATGATATGTTTATTTATTTCACTTTTTATCGAATAGTCCTAAATGCGTACACAGAATTTTTTTGCAAAAATTAATAAATAATGCGAAAAAGAATAAAAGGATAAAGTCTTCGCCGTTGATCAATCCCTTTGTGGGATGCGGCACGCATTCTACTTCCATTCAGAATCGTAGTGGCTTATTGAATGCGATGTGGCCTATACAATGACTTGCGGTGGCCAGCCGATGTACAAGTCAGTGTTTTATCCTCCCAGACGAATCTGGTACCATTCCCATCCCGGGGGCTTGGTTGGCGGGCGGGAGTCGACCGGGATTTGAACCCGGCGCCGCGCGAGTGGTAAGCGCACCATTTGTCCCTACACCACCTCCGCGAAAAAGAATAATCCCCCTACATATATATAAACCAGAAGTGTCTGTTGTCTGTCTGTCTGTCTGTCTGTCTGTCTGTCCGGAAATTCGGCATCACCTGAAGAGCCACTTTGAGGGGGCGGGTCAAGGGTGGGATGGGTAGGGCATGGGCCAAGATGTACGGAACACACATGAACTGAGCTAAGCCCCGCCCACTGTGGGCGGGGCGTGCGCACAGTTGTGAGCTACATATTTCAAAAATTCGTAGTTCGGTTCCAAAAGAGCCCGGAGAGTGGAAAATGTGGCAAATGATAGGCAATCGGTTGGCGGACGAAATGAGTGAGACACACCCATTATGGGCGGGACGTTCCACAGGTGGGCGGTGCTTGCCACAAAACTTTCAAAAATTCGTAACTCGGTTCCAAAGGAGCCCGGAGAGTGGAAAATAAGGCAAATGATAGGCAACAAGTTGGCGGACGAAATCAATGAAGAACATCCGGGATGGAAGGGTCGTTCGCCGGGGAGTGCGATGCCGAGGGCACAAAAGCGCTCAAAACGCATCCGAAAAACCATTTGATATGCTGCCTACGGTTATCCCTCACTAACTTCGTGCCAAACCCTCCCGCAGCATATCAAATGGTTGGTACCGCTTGCCTTAGTTTATTCTCCGATTCCTCATCACTTAGAATAGTGCCGCATAGAAAATTTTGATGACTGTTTTCTAGGGGGTATATACAGAAGTGAAACGGTAAAGTGCGGTAATTCTCAAAACAATTTTTTTTTTCGACCATTCGCCCGGCGAAGCCGATCCGACTGGCCCTCCCTCATGGAAAACTTCTCACAGGGACCCACTTCACACGCGGAAGGAGGATCGGCCGGCGAAGCCGGCCGATCCGACTGGCCCTCCCTCACATGGAAAACTTCTCACAGGGACCCACTTCACACGCGGAAGGAGGATCGGCCGGCGAAGCCGGCCGATCCGACTGGCCCTCCCTCACATGGAAAACTTCTCACAGGGACCCACTTCACACGCGGAAGGAGGATCGGCCGGCGAAGCCGGCCGATCCGACTGGTAGATTGATAATATGAGTAGTGATTCCAGTTTCCGCTTCTCATCTGCGAATCCCCGAAAGTTTCCCTCTAGTCTTGGAATTCCAGAGTAGCTGATGCCGTTCAGTGCTGAATCAGGTAAGTGAGAATTTTCTATAAAAGTAGAAAAACATTTTCTATGAAGGAGAGAGTTATCGATCGGCTACCACAGGTTTATTTATTCCCGATTGCCAGTGAAGTTGTCCCTTGGCAATATTGCCTGCATTCAGAGTGAATGAATGACTTGAAGCGGACCAGAATCTAACCGCCGCCTTTGCAGAGGCCAATTACTATTACTATAGGCGTTTATTGCCCCGTAAGGTTCAATGGACATCGTCATGGGACTGGGGCTGTAAACATGCGCTATTGCACACTATTGATTTGCGGGTAGTGCGTTGTTGATGGTCTGCCTTTCGTTGCGCGTTCTGCAACGAGCAAAGTGGGGTGGTTGTTGTCAGTCAGTCAGCTGATGGGCGAGCGTGAACCTCCGTTCCAGGCGCGCTATCTAGTTTTACTCTAACCTCTGACTAGTCTTCGTGTCCTCTCCTCCTATGAGTCCAAAGCAAGCTGTCGCTCCGCCTGCCTCTGCTCCCTGCTGTCCCCCTAAGCGCGACTTACGAGCTGGGTGCGTTCGTCCGAAGGGTAAGCTTCATCGTCAGCTGCAAAGCCGCTTTCAGTTGAATGAGTCGTCCTTTATAATCAGTTCATTATTTTTCAGTCGGTGTCTTTACTGTGACTAATTTTGATTATCCAGGCCTAAAAATGGAGCCCCAGAAAGCCCAGGCCTGGTCCTCTGGGGTCCCTTTTCAGGCCTGGATAATCGAGTGTAGTGACATCACACCAGTCACGCCAATATCAGTCTTCAGTCCGTCAGTCGAGAGCTTCGTACATATGTCCCAAGGTGTGACATTTCGAAGAAATTAGCTTGTTAAAGTTCGCTCAAAAAGAAGAGGGAAAATTCAGGACAGAGCAGTGTGGGCGGAGCAGATGTGGAGCCTGGAATTATTATGAAGCTAATTTCTTCGAAGTGTTACACCTCGGTCCATATGTGGGAAACCGGCTGACTGAAGGCTGATATCCCTGTGGATTTCCTGCTTCCTCAGTTGGTCCCGTTAACGATCGAGCCAGGCTTTAGGGGCTCAGAGCCAACAACAAACATCTCTGTCATTGAGCTCAAAGAGCATACCTCTGTTTACTTAACCTAGTAACTTGTCATTCGATCGTGTCCTTGGCAATCGCCAGCTGTTCGCAGGGCATTAATGGCCAGGCGATAGATTTGGCCCCGAGTTCATCACGCAGTCCCTAATTCGAGGCCGCAACCTGTGCTACTACCAGAGGGCTCTTTGTTTTACTCGACCTTGCTTCATTCATCTGTCATTTAAACCATTCATTAAGTTGTGTTGGTACGGGCAGGCTGACCAAGGACGGCTGGATGTAACTCTCTCTGACGTTTGCCCTTTAATATCCTCGACTCTTCCAGAAAGCAGTTGTTCCAATCTAACCACTTGGCGATCCCCCCACATATTCTTGCGCCTGGGACATTTTCAGGGAGGTTTTGTGGGTACTCTTCCAGGGTGAGGCTCTCGGCGATTACAACTGGGGGACGTTTTTAATTAGTTATCTTCTTTAACATATATTGAACAGTCCGGAGTTGACCGGTTTCATTACTGCTTGCTTTAGGCGATTTCTCCTGATTTCCGGTTCTCGGACATGAGGCAGCCTTCCTCTTCTTCTGGCGACTTCTTATTCCTCCACCTCAATCTGTTTTTCTGGACGTCTCCATGACGACTTGCTCCTAGCTCTCTCCTTCCAGCTGGAGAGAACTTCTCAAAACCAGTGGTGAAAGCAGAGGGCGTGAGAATGGTGTGATATATTTGTTTATTTATTTTTATTTATTTGCCATGTCAATATTTTACAATATGTGGCACCTCATTAGATCAATCCATTCCTTCTTCGTCATGCATCTTGCCGCATTTTGCCAATTGCACGTAATCAGCACTTTCTTAAACTCATCTCTCCATCGGGATTTCGGTCGTCAATCCGTCTTCGCAAATATGGGTGCCATTCCGTGAGCAGTTTTGACCACTTGTTTCTACTTGAACGAGCCATTTCCCAGGCGTAACTCCACTTCCTTTCTAAGGCTTTCTCCACCACATCCTTAACTTTTCTTAGAAAACCCAAAAATATGGCATTTTGCTCAAGAAGCATTCTTTGTGGGGAAGCTCGCCCTTCAGTGTCTTGAGTCCACTGGCCACGCGGATATTGATTGATTGATTGGTTTGATATTGATGAATATTGGTTATATTGCTCTCTGAAGACAAAGGAGTAATTAGTTTATTATCCAACTTCACCAGTTAGTGGAATAACTAGAATACCAAATAGAATACCAGCTAGAATATCTTGTTAACCTCGTATTGCAGTAACACCGAATATGAGTATTGATGTGCAGAGGATATTGCGTTAGGATCGAGAACAGAGCACCGAGCCAGTCCCTGCTTCGAGTCGCCTTTATATAGGGCTCTTTCCCGCGCGATCTTGCACTTTCGACCATTCGACCGATATCTTGGCGGAAAATTGAATGACGATTATTCTGCAATGAATGAGTAAGCCAAACATAACTGAGGACCAACACAACTCAATTGAACTTGAACACTTGAATAAAGTTTACCATATTGTATGAGAGGAAGCGTTTTCTATTCTCCGTCTCCGTCCTTCTCGAAATATTTTTCCAAAACGAATGTCTTTGCTTTTTCTACGCTAGTGAAATATCCGCCTCGCTGCTTCCGACCGAATAATGGTCGCGGCGACGGCCCAAGGCCGTCAATCAAAGATCCGTTCTGGGCTAGGTCCCCGGCGGCCGAAATAGTAAATAATGCTACCCGCCTCAAATTACCATTTTTAGCACTCGACCGCCTTCTTCACTTCTTTCGCTCGACCGCCTTTTTCACTTTTCACTCGTTGCTGGATTTTCATCCCATGTGTTTCTTATTTGCGTTCACCAGTTTACTTTTCAGAATGTGGTGGTTATTTGTGCACGCAGCAATCTGCGTCAGCTACCTCGCATCTGCTCTATCGGCATGGTACCCGAAAAAACTGCCAGCTTTACGTAATGCATCTGCTTTTGGGCACTTATTGTTCGGAGTCTTCCTATTCATTGCACCGGGCTATTTCCTCGGAATCACGGTAAGAAAACCTCTCGGCGTGAACATAGTTAATTAGTAGTACTGTTGGACTAGCCCACTTACGCGATCGTTACCCAAACTGACCCCTTTACTCACGTCGTTGTGAGTTCCCCCTCAAGGGAAACAGAAGTCAAAGGCAGGGTATAAAATGGCCACCCATTAGCATGCAAAATGATGGATTGTTCACACATTTTCTGGTACACCATAGGCTGGAGTTGGGTAATACGCCGCTTCGCCTAGAAAATACCGTCTTGATCAAGTACAGCAGCTGGGAGAATCCCTTAGGGGGGTGGGGTCATATTTAGTCGTTAGGGATGAGGCGGTCGTGTTTGTTTGACAGGGTTCGTACCCGTTCTTGACAGGAATTGTTAAGAACCGGGAGAAAATTTTTTTGGTCGTTGACTTTTTGCGGTTTTTTTTCCTGTTTCATGTGTGTTGTATACCCCTCCTGTCATTTAGTGGAACCATCGGAGCCTGAGCACGTGTAGCCCTTAGAGGAATATTTTGTTGAGTACGCCCCTCCCCCATAAAAGGTTTCCTCCCCAGGTTCGATCCCCACCCCTTCCCCCATCCTACATACCTATCATCTCCTCAGGTGCTAAGTTGTCCTAAAGCACGCAAAGCACTTCTTCTGAGTTTTTTCCCAGAGAACCGCCGTTGAGTAGACGAAGGGCTGGGTAGTATACTCCACTTTCTGGGGATTCCCACTGTTCGACGTGCCCCGGTCAGAGTCCTTGCAACTGATATTTTCAACAATTGTAATTATTAACTTGAGTAGTTGTTTGGTAAGGACCTCCCGTTCCTACTCCCCCTTGGCGACAGCTTTTTGCGCTTTTTTAAACATTGGAACAGTTTGTTGGAAAGTCATGAATTTGAGAATCCTCGTCGAATTGGTAGTAATACGATTCGTCACCCAGTAGACGACTAGAACAAGAGAACTCTATGAAATTGCCGTCCAGCGAATCCCTCTTATAAAATTGTATTGTTTTAGGTGCAAGGCCACTTCAACACTCTGCATTCGTTCTTGCAGGCTTACTCTGCACCATTTCATGTAAGTGCACATGTCTATCAGTAGGCATTGTGAAAGTCCTCAGCCAGTGTCATTCAAGAACAAATTATATTTCAGTTAGCTCTCGCTTATTTCCTGTTGTCGCCGGCCGGATTCCCTTATGAAAAACCCTTTGTCTTACAGCAAGCATTCTGTGCTCTACTATCATTGCTAACAAGGCTTCTAACTGCTTGGCATCTCACTGAGAAATCCACTCGTGGACTACTTATATCGGACCATGTCAGTTGATCGCCCAATGGGTCATTTGTTTTGACAATTTTGATTTTCAACATTGGTTTCCACACATTTTCTATCCGTAATAACTACCTACATCAACTTGTGAAAAATATACGTTCATTTCATTTTCAGTTCATTTTGTGTGCTTTCCTCACTGACGGGGCGTGGCTCATCTGCGAAAGCGTAAAACTTTTCACATACGAGAAAACTAACCAGGATGAAATCGACCAAATGTGCAAAAGGACAACGCTTTGGTTGGAGGTGAATTTTTCGGCTATATAGCTGTTCACAGAGTTAGTGGCCGCTAGGTTAGTCTGCAAAATATTGAAGTTACCTTAGCTGGTCTTCGCCGCAAGTGTTGCTTGTGATTGGTTGCCTCAGAGACCGAGCAATCACGAGTACCACATACATTCTTATCTGAACGCGTTAGAACTTCCCTAGGTTCCCTTTCTTGGATTCTTGCACCCTGATCTTGATTCAACTGCTCGCCCTTCAGTAACTTGGAAGTTACTGGCCACGCTGAAGGTACAGAATTCAAGAATAATATTTTATTGATGGTAAGGCAAGTCTTGGATCTTGTCCGTCGGAATGCTCACCAGCTTGTCTTGAAGTCTTGTCCTTCTTCTTGAACGCTCCAGCCGGACTCCAGCCTCCCATCCTCCAATCGACCACTTTTATATGGAATCTTATGTTGAAGTATGTAAACATAATCTAAAGAGAATTATTATTTAGAAGCGTTATAATGCAACATTGCTCACTGATCCGCCAAAAGATAAGAGGCTGAGAACTTGAGCGGCGGATGACTAATCGCTACAGTAACTGTATATGAGAGAAAAAGCTTCTAACCTCTATACGTCTGGGGAGAGTGTTAAAGGCACAGTTCGCGACCGCAAATTGCGGGAAACGGAACTCAAATAGGCACAAAAAAGTGCTAAGTATCTGATTAGCGGAGAAAAGCAGCAGAAAAAGCAGTCCGAAATGTTATAGAGAAAGATAACATAGTGGCTACTAGCTAGTAGCTAGCAGCCGGTGAGGGTCGGCATGGGCCTAAGGGGTGTCCATGGGCCTAATTAGTCAGCTTCTAGCGGAGTTCTTGCCGTTTTTCACATTTTGAAAGTAGCGCAGCCTCAAAAATCGCCTTCCGGATCGTCCGACACATTTGAGAGGTCATAGCCTTATTTTATCGCGGAATGTGCCTTTAAGGAAAACGCAGAATAGTCCCTTTATTTTCAGGGCAAGGGCTCATTCTACTTGGAAAATGCGTTCTACGTTGATACCGCCATCAGTCTTCTCATGGCGTTCACCCATTTCGCTTTTCCTCAGCACATTCTGAAAATAGTGGTAATACGATTTTAACGTTTATTTTCTGTCATTACTGCAAATAGTAGTATATTTCGAATGAAGACTGAGCTTTAAAGGTGACATCGTTAGAGTTAGTAACGTTCAGAACGCGTGAGTTCGTTATGTTTTAACGGATTAATAAACTTTTGCTTCTCACATGATTAGTAATGCAGTCGCGCCACAACTGCTCGCGTCCTAAGCTCTTTCGTCTCCCACCTAAAAGATTCATGGGATAGGAAAAGTGCTATAGATAAATTTTCAATTATTAGCATTATGAAATTGACATAATGCCTTTATTCAGATAACCTCCGAATACCTTCTGGACTCGCATCACATTATGTGGTGCCGTATGTTTGGCTGCCTTAGCCTGCTCCCAGCCTTGTGTTCACTGTCGGCTCGTTATCTCCCACCTCACGTCCAAACACACTACCTCGCCAGTCGCCTACTTGTGAGCAAATTTTGTTTACTACTTTCATTAGATTACTTACTTTTTTGTAGGTTCCGTTTGCTGACTAGAAGTTAAAAAGGCAGGATGTACATGTTTTCATACATTTTGTGCAGAATAATGTACGGTAGAAACACGACGGTTGTGCGAAGATTGTGTGATTTATGGTCAAAAGTGACCAACCATTGGTGGTTGCAAGTGGCCAACCAATGATAGGCACCCTTCGATTGCGCATTCCTTACACAAAGTTCACCCGAACATTTGTACTGGTTGTGTCTAAACGAACATAAATCAAAAATGAACTGAATTTGAGCTTAGTTCGCTGAAGTAATACTTTGTTTCAGGCCCAGGTTATGGTGTTCCTTTTGAATGTTTTCGGCCATTGGTATCTTGGAATCTTCTCACCCAATCACATCTCAGGATTCATGATCTCAGGATTTTATATGTCATTCCTGTTCTCAGCCTTCTACCGCGCATCTTCCCACTATAAGGTTCGTACTTTTTGATAAAAATGGCAGAGAAGCTTCTGAGCGAGGGCGAGAATAACTCGTAGAAATGATGTCTCCGAGCGATAACCCCGGTCAGTGGGATGATACGAACGTCTCGTAGAAGTAGATAGGTGTGAGTCCATCATACAGTGCAGTTACTATTTATAAATGGCGTCATGTACAGCTTACAGGCTTTATGACATAGTCAGAATAAAGGGATACCGAGAAAGGGAAACATAAAAAAGGTAAAGTTTCCGCTGTTAATCAATCTATTTTGGAGTGCGGCGCGTATCCTTCCAATATTTAGTATCGTAGTGGGTTACTGAACATGCGAAACGGCTTATACAATGACTTGTGAGGGCCGGCCAATTCAGTATATCCCAGACGATCCTGGTGCCAATTTACCGCTACCGAGGGTGGAAAGCTGGGTTGGTCTGAGCAGGAGTGGATGCCGGAAAGCGCCTTATGTCACAACACCCCTCCGCCTCAAATGAAGAGAACGGAAGAAGTAGATAGTACCGTCCATACACAGTTGTTTTTCGCGGAGCTACTCCAAGCGACGCAGTAGGTCAACATCAGCGGTGTAAAACAACAGGACCTATTCTTGTATGAAACCGGTTGTTACGTCTGCCTGTACGAGTCTTGTTTGGCTTGTTGCTGCTAGTAATAGACCCAAGAGACCGTGACGTGTGCAGCCGTTAAATGTTATCATGGCTCATAGGAATCAACACCCAATTAGCACTCAGCAACTAACTGGTGCGCAGTAGTTGCTGAAGGCCCTCAGTGGGCTAATTCGCTAATTTAGTTGACGATCTAAAATGGAAGTAAAGATGCTGATTAGGGCAAGAGAAAAGAGGATTCGTGGAACGAAGTAGTTAAAAGGCAGCGAACAAAACCCAAAACTACGTCCACCTTCCCCCCTCCCTGAGGACCTTGGCAGACTCGAAGACAGGGTACAGCATCGTTGTGTGAAACACATATGTAGGGGTTCGTTCTTTTTCGTCGGGGAGGGGGGAGGGTCGTATTTGGTCGTTGTTGGGAGAGGGAGGGGTCGTATGTGCCTTTGAGAGAAATTTGCCGCGTTGGGAAAAAGTTTTCTCGGTTGTTGACTTTACGTGAGTTTTCCTGTTTCATGTGTACTGTATATCCTCCTCCCGCCCTGGAAAATGTGGGAAAATGTCAGGTAGGTGTTGGGGAAGGGACGGGGGAGGTAGTACTGACAAGACCCTGTCCTAGGTGTTGGGTCATTCTGACACCACAATGCTCACACATCACGATTCTACCCTGGTCGGAGAATGTTCGAGCCTTGTTAAGTCACTTGAGGCGCGCTCATGGTTGCAAAGTACGTCACACATCGTCTGCTTAGGGCCTTAGCTTCATTGTCCACGAGACATTTACCACACATGGCATAGTTGAAATACTGTCTCTGCTGTTAAACAAATGATGACTCTTTTCAGAACCTTCCACAAATCACTATCCGCCAAAAGACGAAAGCCATGTAGATGATCGAGTTATGGTTCACCTTCAGTTACCACATATGAAACCAACTCATCGCAATACACTACCTCATTTAGATCTCATTACTACAACACGTTTCAAAATGATAGGAACCTCACTTGAAGACAGGGTACGACAGCTGGGGGTGGGCGATTACTGCCAAGGCATTGGAAAGGTTGAGCGAGGTTTGGCCAAACGACCTGTCAAGCTCTTCCACCAGTGACGTTGGCCGTAACCGCCCGCCCCCAGCCATCGTACCTTTTGCCTTTGGGTTCACAGAAATCATAGCATTAGACTCCCTTATGGTTCGGGACCAAATGCCAAATTGTGCTTCGTAAAGGGCTCCTATGATTTTGTGGCGGACTCTGTTCATATTGTATTCAGTTTTACATGCATACTCTGTACATACAATATACCAAAATGAACCTTCAAGATAATCAATAAAGTTTCCAAAAGTTTCCAGGGATATATTTGGCTCCTATACTGTTGCATAATGAGAATCCATTTTCAGATACAGGTGCGTTCCATTCATTTTCATTCTCCTGTCTCACTATTCCTCTTTTCCCCTCGGTTCAACTTCCCTACTTCGTTCCCGCGCGTTCCTTCGCATGTTCTCCTCAACCCTTCTCTCCAAAATCTTTTCTCAGATTTCTAGTGAAACTCCGAGCACCCATTCTCCTCTGGATTTTGTCTATGAACTTAAACCTTCCCGTATTCACATAGTAACGTGATATCGCTTTAAAAAATTTACTTGCTTCCAATACCGAGAAGCACATGTGTCAAAAGTAACGCGCGCAACGTAGCCTGATCAGGGGCGCAAAATCCTTTGACACACGATATGTGTATACAGTTGCAATATCATAGTGAAGGAACAGGTGCCGGCGTCGCTGAGGTACCTGCCTCGGCGACGTCGCCACGTGCCTGCTTCTGCATTTCCAAGAGTTTCGCTATTCATTCCTTGAAGGCACGATCCGCGGTAAGGAGCGCAGGTAGAGGTGTTGAAATGTGGAAGAGAAGTCGTCAAGTGACTCGGCTGTGAAGAGAAATGCCAAGGCGAACGTTGGCAACGCCTTTACTGAGGCCCCTTTATTCTCAAACAATCGTACGGGTGAAAAAAATAAGGACCGCGCGCTGGGACGAGTCCAGTCGACTGACTCCTCATAATGAACCCTGATATCCCATGGGAGATATTGAAGCATCCGTTTGTCCGGTAGCACCTCTTTTGGATGGATGCGTACTTTCAGGGCGAGTTTGGAGGAGGAGCCAGTGGAAAAAGGGAGGGCCACTAGAGCACTATGCGCCTTAAGTTCTTCACCTTAAAGCTACACTTCGAAACTGGCATGAGGTGGTTCACTGGTGATCACACCATCCTTCCACGTAATCTTTTGTCGAACCGTCGTGTTTTCATAAATCATTGCAGACTGTTCCTTCAAAGGAAGAGCCCACGATCGTCTATTATTAGCAGAAAGTCTGTAGTGCACGGACAACGCTCTACAAGGTTCACGTCAGAAAGTGGTGAGATAGCGGCGGTTGGGCGCGAGGTTGCTCAAGTGACTCCGCCCAACTCAACAGATGTCTTGCCTACACTCTAATTCTTTTGCATGCTCTCTCGCTATCTTCTCTAGGCTCTCGCCCGATGTCCACGTCGACCCTTTATCTCTCGCTTGGCACAAGTAGAGCCCTACTTGGAGTGTTCTCAACCTTTTCCTCTCCTTTTTTATTCACGAGCAACTCAGCTAGCACATACGCAGCTGTTCCTAACCCCGTTATCAACGAAGTGTTACTTAACTCATCGCGAATTCTGCCTATAAAATGATGCTGGTGAGCAAGGGGAGCTCAAAAGTATCATATCCGTACCAGGATATTGAGGTTGTTGCGGTTTTGGTAAAGGCGGGTGTAACACCATAAACACATTTATTGAATATTTATAATTACACTATAAAATAATGCACTTTCAAATGCGAGTGTTAATCCATAAGCAATTGTTCACTCCGGAAATTACCATCAAGCTAAGAGGATTAAAAACAGATACAGCCATGTTTCACACGAACGCTTATTTGAGACTCTTTGTGAAGGGTGCGAAACGTTGACTAGGGCTGTGTGCGATTGGGGACCGCTAGCAAAACACCAGCGACAAACGGGCAAAGTGCCAAGCTCACGTTCCGTACCCTTATGTCAAACCACACTGGCTGAATATCCTGATATTATTGCGGATATGTTTCAAACGGCGGCACAATTCTTGATTAAATGTGCACTACTAGAGATAACTCAAGAACAGTTACAAAAGTATTCAATGAAATCACAAGAAGCTATCAACAAGTAGTAAAATTTGCAACTATTTAAGAAAAACGCTGTACGGTCACTTTCGAGGGCTGTGATCCTTGCCATGTGGAAGGTGCACCGGTCGACAGCTGCAGAGCGCCACTTTTATCACTCGATATTGCACTAAATGAGTTTGAGGGGCAGTGGTAGCCGTACACCGCTTTGGACTACACCCACAATCAAAGCACGCAGACGCAACGTGCAACACAACCAAGTATACCGTGCAGCCAAACGCCTCACATGAGCGTCCTCTCATGTTCGGTTGTTTCTTACTACTGGTCGAGTGAGGCAGCGTTCATGTCTTTCTTTATGGGAGCACGGTATCGACGCATATGCCACACGTTATGGCTAGCGGGTGGGGTCCGAAACGATATCCAACGATCACAACCCTCCAGCTCCATTTCTCGCTTTCCGCGCACTTTTGAGTGATGAAATTGACTCATTACGGCTACAGCTACGGGTTACTACACCCACACATAGCAAGGATCCACATGGCAGGTGAGCGCATAGCTACTCTTTAATGGCAGCTAGGAACTGCAAAATCTGTTAGTTAACTTCCTCGCTGAAATAAATAGATAATTGGAGTGCTTCTGCGCAATTTACTTATTACCTGTTTAGAACAGCGCATTGAGGACATTTCAGCGGAAGGATCAAATCTTTTATAGGCCCTATCTTAGTGTGGTGCAAGTTCAAGAACCATGAGTGATAACATGATTAGTTAGATTCTGGTTCACAGAAAACCGTCTCCCTCAATCCATGGACAAATAGCCCCACCGATGCTCATCGAGACGACTCCTTGCCCTTGGATCCAAAGGAATCGGGGTAGTTCATTGGGCGAGCTTGAAAAGCAGTTGAAATTAGCTACAAAAAAACCGATAGTGACAGGGAACGGCAAGGTGATAGGCTCGGTTCAGAATCCAGTAGGACGTCAGCAAGGCGCTCGCGTAACGGGCCTGCGCGCCTATGTAGCAAGGGGGATGCATATCGATCAATCGAACCATCCCCGTTGCGTGCGTTTGCGCTACGGTCGGCCAATCAGATTCTGAACTGTGTGTAAAAGAATGTGCGACCTTGAAAACCTATAACACATATTAGACTTAGAATTCGAGATGAAAAGGTTTTTGCATGGTGCAAAAAAATAGTTCTCCTCAGTAGCCTCTCGATCAGTTTTCGATTGGGATTATAAAAATTGATAAAGCCATTTTCAAACAGAGGAAGAGTAAGTCAAGCCATATTCCGCGGTACGTGCTACTTCTTGTCGCCAACAACCAGAGCATGAATTTCTGTACCGGCACGCACACGACAATCACAACAGGTGGCTACTGACAGAGCAGCAGTTTGCCATTGTCCACCAACTCGTCGCAGTACTTCGACGTTTCGGAACTGCTGCTGACATTCGCCCCATCCTGAGTGAGAGTATTTCCAACCACACATATTTAAAAAGTTTTAAGTCGAGAGTTTGCACCTGACAGACAAAAGTCGTCTTCCTTACAGCTCAGCTCGTTGAGCAGACGAGGGAAGTAGTCTTCTGGGAGTTGTCTCCATGCCCAGCATGCACCTATCATTGTGCAAATCGTATAAATCACGTGACTATTGCATTGGAAATCGTTCTGATAGACCAAGTAATTACTTTTCATCAAATGAGTTGTAGTGCAGAATGATTGAGCCGACAATGCGCACGCCATTAGCCCGCCCCATGGGGTCAATATCAGTCGTCGTCATGCGCGGCTGCAACCGTTAGCTGAGCGGTTTTCACCTGATAACGCGATGAAGTGGCTAAAGGCTAAAGTGTGAGAGTGGGAATTCCGCTCCAAGCCTAAGGCAGCTGAACGGTTATTCTATGGCGGTAGACTCAAGGGGTGCTCCACTATGCTCACCGACTGAGAGCAGCCTGCCGTCAGATCCCGCAAGGATATGCCATATGGAGCTGACAAGTAATCCACCAGCAAGGTCAGGGGCTATGAAGAAAGCGGCCAGGGAGATCTGGGCAACAACCTAACAAGGAAAGGATGGTTGGTCGAAGTGGCCATTCGAAATGAGATGTATACTGCCCGGTGGGCCCTTGAACGCTGATTACAAATCTGCCCTCCATTTCTGCTGAACGATTCCCTGGACAAAGTTTATGCAGGAATTTTGACCAGGTCACACCCATTTCCAGCATGTATGTGAGGCACACCAAAACCCCCAAATTTGCTAAAATCTGGAATTAGAGGTGGTCTGGTGCTCTGGAAATCATCACTGCAGGTATTTTTCATAAAAATGTCTTGTTCACATTCTGGAGGGGCAGGGTGTGCAGGACCTGCAACTCCCTTGGCGAGCGTTTTTACGCCGAGCAAGTGTGATATTCGTGTTCTGGGGCTCAAATTAGCCCTAGAGGCAAGTTTTCAACCAAATCTGAGATTTCGACCTATTTTCGATACAGTGGGGTAACCATGGGCAACAAATTCCTTAAGGTCGCTGGCACTATCGCCGATCAAAATCTCTGTGAGCCATGCAACTTTTCCGCTGAATCTCAGTCCTTATTGGTCCTGATCACAAACATGACATTCACTTCTGGCTTCCATGCCATTTGGAATCAGTTTGGTGGCACAACACAACGTAACGAATAATGCCGCCGAAACCAACAATCAAGGGTATCCTTCAGGAGTGTTCCAGAATGGCTCCATTCCTTCAGAAACAACATTTTCGGTAAGATCAGGTCTCCTAACCCCGGAACTAACCCCGGAAAAGTGCTTTTAGGATGTGCAGGGAGCATTTTTGAGAAAATGCAAAACCACAACTCCAGGAAGGACCCGAACCCTTTTGAATTTGAAACGCCTATTCAATATGCATTCCCTCCAAATGTCATAGAACCCTGTAACACAGCAGAGTGCAAGGAAATTTTTTATCCGGTGTTCCCATTGCGAGAAACTTTTTTGCTTCCAACACTTTGTTCTGGATTATCACATTTGTTCTTGAATCACAAAACTTGTTTGTACCCACCATATGAGCAAAATAACCTCCACAGAGCGCTGCTGAAACAATGCAAAAGAGCAAGTCCATCAAGGACTCGAACCTCTGACCTCGTATACTTGAGTCCGGACTCACGTCTTATTTGTATACCAAGCTCTACTGTGCTCCGTACAACAACCTCCTGCATATCTCTGCTCAAAGAATCGTTCAGCAGATATGGAAAGCAGATTTGAAATCAGCGTCCGAAGACGCATCAGTGAGTATACATCTTGTTTTAAATGGCCACTTCGACCAACCATCCATTCCTTGTAAGTAGTGCGCCCCGATGAACATGAAGGTTATTACTGTTTGTTGCCATTGGTTCTTATTGCGAATGATGCAGTGTGCTTCATGTCTGCGTCAGTAAGTTGTCACTGAGGGGTAGGAAGTGGCGTGGTAGGATATGGCGGCAGCCACCGATGGCCAAAGTATGGTTCGTGCCGGGTGCACGTCGTAGGTTACCCCCTAGTCGTCAGGAAAAGATCTAATCTGCGTGGGTGCTGAAGCAGGGTGTTGTGGTTTGGTGGGGCCCCTGGACCCAAATGGCCATGGAGCACCCAGGGCAGAGGGCATACGGCCATCGCCAAATGTGAGCCCCAGACCAGCCTACAACGCGTTTGCAGTGTGAAGATCCTGTTTTGTCGCTCCTGCAGTCACGGCAGGTCTGACTGTGAGAGAGCCTCAGCTCGAGGGGTCATATTTGCCTCTGAAAGGCCTTTGAAAGAAATTCGCCGCGCGTTACAAAAAAAATTTCGGTCGTTGGCTTCGCCGGTCTCTCCCGTTTCACGCGTTCTATGGACCTCCGCTCGCTCAACGCCGAGGGGGGGGGGGCGTTGCAGAGGAAGAAATTGCAGGGGGGGGTCATTCCCGAAAATGCTCCTCAGCGGCAGGACGCCCTCTGCTTGCAGCACATTGAAGCTGGGTCGTCGGCACTCTAGAGACGTGATATGTCTCAGCTTCGCCTTACAGCACGCGATAACTCTGCCTGTGTTTTCTGAGAAAAGGGTAATTACATAAAAAAGGTGAGTAGTTCATTAACAAGTCATTACGCTCATTATCAACTCATTAATGAAGATATGAGCTATGCTTGAGCCTCATTTTATAATTCCTCTTTTCTTGAACATGGTTGATGAGGACTCAATATATTATTTTTATTGGTGAGCTTTCATGCGTAGCAGCTTATTCAGACCTACAATAAAACGAGCATACAGTACTACAAAACCCTACAACAATTAAGTTGTCCATAGTACTAACCAGACTCTGTTCCCTCCTTAAAATTTCTAAAGGCTTACAAGTGTCAACCACACTACTATAAGTCAACGAGCTACCCTAGCGACACATCCAATACAACTAGAAGGACACAGGAATATAACGCGCGTGACAGTCGAGAGGACATTCTTATCACTTCTCATCGCAACAGCTAAGCAATTAGTCTTAGTGCCTCCACTAGCTCGTCTTGTTTATTTCGGGGGATAAGCGCTCGACAGCGAGCGCTTCGAGCAACTTCCTTTCTAATGGACACTCCTGTGCGGTTAAAAAAAGAAACTCTCAAACGAGGTGGTGTTTCGTGTTGGTGGAATGTCGTACGATGCCGCGAGAATATTGTTGGGGTAGGAGGAGGGATTCCGCAAGGCTTGTAGGTATCGTCCATCCTTTTATATAAAGGTCGTCCTGTCTCACCAACATACTTTTGATTACATCCTTCGCATGTGACCAGTAAACTACTCCTCGCAACTGACAGATTTTTTTTTCTGTACAGTACGCACAGTTACTTCGGCCATTTCTCTTCGTATAATCGGGATAATGTCAGTATGCTCCAGAAATTTTCTGGTGGTCGGAATATGAACTTTGGAAGGTGCGACAACTTGATGGCGTAATTCTTTTTCTCTGCTATTCTCTCGTTCACATACGGTAACACCAGTGGCATTCCTCGAGCAGCAAAGTAAGGTCGCCGTGCTCTTGGTTGGCATGCCGTGTATTTTCTCCCAAGATCTTTGCTATTTTCAGATCCACCTCTCCTGATTTCAACTGGACAACTTAATTGTTGTAAGGTTTTGTAGTACTGTATGCTCGTTTTATTGTAGGTCTGAAGAAACTACTACGCAGCGAAAGCTCACCAATAAAAATCGTATATTGAGTCAACCATTTTTCAAGAAAAAGACATTATGAGGCTCAGGGATAACTCAGTTCCTCATTATCTGAAAATCCAGCAACGACGTCCATCAAATTTGCCGGGATACATTTTCTATCCTTGTGAAGTATATTGCATCTCTACAGGCTGCCGCCGTTTACGATGCATCAATTGTTTTTCTACTGCAATGTAAAGCGCAAGGATTGATGAAGAAATGCCTTACAATGACTCTCTAACATATCCCATACACATGGACAAAGCGATAAAACTTCTGCACGGCAAAAATGAGAGCGAGTGCTTCCTTCTCAATCTGGCTGTAGTTCTTCTGTGCTGCTGGTTCGGCAAGCGGCTTGCGTGGTAGACGACCTTCTCGGATCCATTTGGGAAGCGGTGAGAGAGAGTCGCTCCTATTCCGTAGTTGGAAGCATCGGCAGCTACGATGATCGGTAGAGCCGGGTCGTAATGAGTCAGCAGGAGATCCGAGCTGAGTGTTGCCTTGATCTTGTTGAAGGAAGTTTTGCACTCCGGTGACCACTTGTAGACAGCATCCTTCTTCGTAAGGGCGTCTAGCGGAGCGCGAAGATCGTGCAGATCCTTGACGAAATTGCCGTAGAAGTTGATGAGTCCGAGAAAAGCGCGAAGCTGGCTGACGTCTGTTGGAGCGGGCATCTTCTGTATGGCTTTGATCTTGTCCGGATCAGGGCGTCGTCCTTGCGCGTTGATGACGAACCCGAGGTAGGTGATTTCTGTCCGCAGAAATGTGCATTTGTCGAGTCGAACACGGAATCCGTAGTCCTGGATTCGCTTGAACACTGCTTCCAGTCGAGTGTTGTGTTCGTCGATGGTTCTGCCAGTGACCAGTATGTCGTCGAGATAGGCGGCAGTTCCATCTATTCCAGCGATGAGTGCGTCCATGCACTGTTGGAAGATGCCAGGTGCGGGCTTCACTCCAAACGGTAGTCGATTGAAACGGTAGAGTCCACGGTGCGTATTGATTGTCAGCAGCTTCTTAGAGTCGTCGTCCACTTCCAACTGGAGGTATGCTTCGGCAAGGTCGAGTTGAGAAAAGTAACGTCCTCCGTTGAGTTTCGTGAAGATGTCGTCTGGGGTTGGAAGTGGGTGCTGGTGCTGTTCCAGTGCGTCGTTCAGTCCAGTTGAGTAGTCTGCGCATAGTCGGATCGATCCATTTTTCTTCTGAACGGCGACGATTGGTGCTGCCCATTCTGAGTGGTCGATGGGCGTCAGGACGTGTGTAGACACCAGGCGATCGATTTCGTTCGAAATCTTCGGCATAGCAGCGTATGGAACAGGGCGAGCCTTCAGGAACACAGGCTTCGCATTGGGCTTCAGCACAAGTTTAGCAGTCGATTTGGTGCACCTTCCCAGGCCAGGTGTGAAGACAGCTGGGAACTTCTTCGTCAGAGAAGTGTTCAGTGTGCTGAGCATCTTTGACGATATGTTGTAGATCGATCCTTCCGTCAGATGACGAAACAGTTGCTCGTGTTGGGCAATCCACTCTAGGCCCAATAACGATGGCGTGTCGGCTACATAGCAGGTACCTCGTCCTCGTTGACCATCAATGACGAAGTTGCAGTCGTAGCGTCCTCGAACTTTGATCGGCTTGTCGTTGGCAGACTTCAGTGTCAGTCGAGGAGACTGTAGTTTCGGACGACCAAGAGCAATCCAGTCTGCTTCGCTCAGTAAAGTCACGTCTGCTCCAGTGTCGAGACGCATGCGTATCGTCTTTCCATTTATTTCCACTGGGCGATAGATGCGTGATACGGAGGCGACATCAGCATGAGCTGAGGTGATGACGACGTTGTTGGCAGATCTTCGCTTCCGTTGCGGTTTCTGCTTCCTCTTCCTCTTGAAGTTCTTGCAGAATCCTCGTTTGTGGCCCGTCGCTTTGCAGTCGTAGCACGTCTTCTTCAGGAAAGGACATTCCCTCGACCAGTGATTTGCTCCACATCGAAAACAGGGTGAAGGCGGCTCGCGATCCTTGTCCTTTCTGGTTGTGAGAGTCGACGGCGTTGACGTGCGGTGGAGCGGCTCGTTCGAGTAGTGCGGCATCTTGGCGAATGTCGAGGAATTGCTGGATCTTCAGCGGCGAGCTCCTTCAGCGTTGTTCTTGGATTGTCTTCCATCTTGCGGAGAGCACGTGCTCGTATGTCGGTATCTTCAGGGGCGACCAATCCGCTTATCCATACCAAGCATTTCATCTGCTCTGGAGTGACGTCGTTGAATTCGGCCATCGTGTGTCGTTGATTGACAAGTCCGGTGTAGTCTCGCAGGTTCTCTCCATTGCGTTGAGTCTTCAGGTATACGTAGCGTCTCGCAAAACTGACGTGTTGTGGCCAAACAGTTCCTTCAGGATTGCCACAGTGTCTTCCAGGGCAACGTCGCATGCCCTTTTCGGGAGGATGTGGTTCGTGAACCGTGCGTATGTGACGGCGTCGAGTTTAGAGACGATCAACCGTCGTTTAGCGTGGCTCCGTCCTTTGCGATGACGTCTTCGTATCGATTGTACCAGACTTCGAATGTGCAGCCATTGTCAGGATCGTAGACGAATTCGGGGAGACGCGATGAGAGCGAGTTCGTGACGAACTCGGCTGTTGAGACGGGAGCTGTCGAAACTGCGGGTTGCGAAGCAGTGACCATTGCTTCCATGCGATTGATCAGTTCGCTGAACATCTGCTGCTGCATCCTTGTTTGTGCCTCGAGAATGGCTCGTAACGTTTCTGCATCCATTCTCAGTGTCGTAGTTCACTAGACGTCGCGTTCGTCAACAGAGAACCTGACACTTTGCAATAACCGCCTTACGCGATTATCGAGCGTGATTCGATCAGTAGGTCAAAACTGATCGATATGTCAATCACGCGCACAGCGACTGAGGGCTCACTGCCGGGGCTGAAGGCTTCGACTCAGCAGCTCGACCGGGCAGAAAGCGGGCGCTGTTTTCAGGAATCGATCAGCAGTTCGACCGGGCGTGAAGCCGGGGCTGATGTCCTTCTTCTTGGACTCGACCAGCAGTTCGACCAGGCTTGAAGCCGGGCTGGAGTCCTTCTTCTGGAGCAGCTGCAGTAGACGATCTTCCTGGTCCTCGGCTGGTCCGCGTCGTAGTCCGCTGATCGCCAGTTGTTGTAGATGTTGTTGTAGCAGCCGAAGACACCAGTGGAGTAGAAGATTTATTGTGGAACTGAACCGGAGAGAACTGACAACATAAAAACACAAGAATAGTCATATTACAATGCTCCGTACATTGCGCGGGATATTGCATGGGATAATCTCTAATCTCCATACACATACCAATGCATTCAAATCCTACATTGCGAAACCCCACAACATAAGTCATGGCACCAAAGAGATTGAATGGTATAAGAAACCGATGTCGAAGAACATACTTCTGCATTCTCGAAGTGCGCATCCACTCTATATGAAGGCCAACGTGATAAGAAATCTTATCGCAACGAAGACGAGAACATGCACTAGGGAATCAGAAGAGGTGGATCGGAAAATAGCAAAGATCTTGGAAGAAAATGGATACACGACATACCAACCAAGAACATGGCGACCTTACTTTGCTGCTGGAGGAATACCACTGGTGTTACCGTATGTGAACGAGAGAATAGCAAAGAAAGTGAAATACGCCATCATGTCAAACCTTTCACCCAAGCTCATATTCCGACCACCAGAAAATCTCAGGAGCATACTGACATTATCCCGTTATACGAAGAGAAATGTGGCCGAAGTAACTGTGCGTACTGTACAGAAAATAAAATCTGTCAGTTACGAGGAGTAGTTTATTTGGTCACATGCGAAGGATGTAATCAAAAGTATGTTGGTGAGACAGGACGACCTTTATATAAAAGGATGGACGAACACCTACGAGCGTTGCGGAATCCCTCCTCCTACCCCAACAATGGATTCTCGCGGCATCGTACGACGTTCCACCAACACGAAGCACCTCCTCGCCTGAAAGTTTCTGTCTTAAACCGCACGAAGGAATGTCCATTAGAAAGGAAGTTGCTCGAGGCGCTCGCTATCAAGCGCTTATCCCCCGAAATAAACAACAGGGACGAGCTAATGGAGGCACTACGACTAATTGCTTAGCAGTTGTGATAAGAAGTGATAAGAATGTCCTCTCAACTGTCACGCGCGTCGCATTCCTGAGTACTTTTAGTTGTATTGGATGTGTCCGCTAGGGTAGGTCGTTGACTTATAGTAGTGTGGTTGACACTTGTAAGCCTTTAGCAAATTTTAAGGAAGGAACAGAGTCCGGTTAGTACGATGGATAATCTAATTGTTGTAAGGTTTTGTAGTACTGTATGCTCGGTTTTGTAGTACTGTAGCTCTGAGAAGCTGCTACGCAGCGAAAGCTCACCAGTAAAAATTATATATTGAGTCGTCATCAACCATTGTTCAAGAAATCAACTCATTAACAAAACATTAACGTACCACACAGAGCTAGCATATTATCTTCAGATTCGCCTCTATTACTACATCCAATTATGAAACGCGAACCAACAAGCGCCTGTTTTGCGGCACGTCGTTTTCGTTCTGAAGTCCGTTGTGTCGTGAATTCGTGTACTATTTTGATTAAAGTATATATAACATAAGATGTTGAGAATAACATACTGCCATATCCTCCAAATCCTCCCGATGATGACGGAACGAAAGTGTTTGACTGGTAGCTCTGAAAATCAAGATATGCATGAATTTGCATTCAGAGCCATGTTTGTGATTGGCGAGCATGAGCAGCCACCAATGCCTGCTGTGCGCTTTCAAGGGCATGCGACAGACTACATGCTACAAACTTTAATTATAATTACCTACCGATCCACGCTGCGAAGACTGCCATTGCCCTTGGCGTCTACTCTCATGATAAGTGAAACGTCCTTCAACATATTGTTGACCTACAATATGTATTACAATACTTGAACTACTGTCCTTCTCGCTGCGGATGTTGGGCGTCCCAGAGAGGTGCTGAGTTTTGCGTGGCGCGAGCCCGTTTTCCACCAATGTTGTAGCTTGTACACCTCAGCGATTCGTGGAAAATAGGTTGGCCTGCACAAAAGCTAGGCACGCCCTAGTATCCGAAGCGAGCAGGGCTATTTCTTTTGTTACTCGGGCATATTTTTGCAAAATTACGAGCAGAAAGAAAAAAGTCTCACGAGGAAAGCGGACGTCAACCCAGGATGGTTATCACAAGCGCATGAGTCTCACTAAGAAGTAGCGAGTGAACACTACTATTGCCCGCTCAACTAGTACTACTGTGTACTTTGTTATCTCCAAAATCTTACCGAATTCTCCAGTTTGAGATCCTCCTTGCTGAGTGGAATCGCCGTTCTAAATTACACAGGTTATGTAACAACACAGGTCAGGTATTTCTTCTTGAATTTGGACTGTGAGGACAATGATTTCAAAGGAATCCACAACGCAAACGAGGGTTCAAGAAGGGCTGCGTATCTACAAAGCTTATTTTACAATTCTTGTAATACATGTACGGTTTTGTTTTTCTGTCCAAGTTTCAGGAAATTCCGCTCAAAGTAATCAACGGCAATTCTAACAGCGCTCCAATCCTGTAGACGCGAACGCAGCCGCAAACAAGAATCGATCGGCACCCCGGCACCGCCCTAGTGTCCAGCGATCGAAACCAGACTGCGAGACTGAGCAAAGTCCCCGTACTCTCACAATAAATGAGCGGGTGACGCCCATCCATTCCTATCTGCAGCCGCGTTCGCGCCTATAGCCGTGGAGCGTTGTTGCAGCCGCAGCGCGTCGTCGTGAAGTCTGAACGCTGCCTAGCCAGAGAACCACCTAAAGGAGACGGGTCAAAGCTGGAGTGAGCGGAGTGGGTGGGCGAAGATCTAGGGAAATGCTCCATGGGTTCAACATTGGCGCGCTAATCCTTCTCATCGTGCCTCATGGATTCTTTCGAAATCGTGTTCTGAATAATTGAACACCATTGCTCGAGTTCAATCACCGATGCGTCTCCGTTATTCCCCGGAATCGGGGATTGCTCCCAATGTCGTGATTGCGGATTCCACTCCCAGCCTGAAACTAATATCAAAAACTCAAATTCCGTCAAAATTTTCTTCAGAACGTTGATCGAAACGTTTTTTGCGCACCTCGGCACGGTCTTGGTCTTATTGCACAACGGTGGAAAAATTCCCCGTTATTTCCGCTGGTGCCTCTTTGTTGCGTGGATTGAGATCCAAATTGCTGATCGAACCTACTCTGCCAATCCTGTGAATAATTATAACATAAATGCTTGCTAAATTGCCAGTGCATAAAAAAAGGAGTACGTCGAAGAGACGCTTTTTGAACATTTTCTTTGCCTTTGATTTTTTTCCTGTCAGTTTCCCTTCTGTATGTTCACCTCTGTTATGAGCACATAACATGATGTAGTCTAATAACATTTATCGTTTCTGCTCGCGCATGGGAGAGGCGCGGGGTTTGTAGGGTGTACGGGCTTTGCAAGACGCTTATTTTCCGAGTGGTCGATAGCATGATACATGTTTACATCCGACGCAGCGATCAATTATAGATAGAGTTCAAAAAAATCGTGAAAAACTGATTAATCTGTGAATAGTGAATAGTGATTGTAGTGAATGAGTTCCTCAACTTTTTTTCAACTTTGCATGCCTTACTCTACTAATTACCTGTGGTAGCTTGCCTGCATTTCGCAAGCCTGCTTCGATGGTGGATTGAATGTATGGTGGAATACTTGTTGGAACTGGCGGTACCTGGAATTTTGAAAATGAAAAAAAAATCGTATTTGGTACATCAAGAAGACACTTTCTGCCAAATGGAAAGTTACAACAGACCTTTGGATCTAGGAGGAACCTATAACGGGGGCATAATGACGGCCGGAGTGCACTGCGTTCCAGTACTGGTGTCACTGTCCTGAACGACCTTTCTTTTTGATGGATTTTCAGAGCTTTGGAGATTTGCTCAGATGAGGGTACTAACAGCAATCTCTGCCCCCTCCCTGTACAGCAGTTTGACTGAATATCCACGTCCCAGCCGAAGATATACCCCTATTTGCTGCAGAGGTGGGAGAGTGTCAGCGGGAGGGGGGGGGGGCTGGATAAGTTGTAGTTTCTGCCTGAACAAAAATTGCAACTGAGGGGTGGGAGTGCTTTTAGAATTTCTCATTTTGAGAGTTTCAAGAGAAATACATGGATGACCTGCATGGTCAGCTGAAATTGTGGAATCTTCACGGGCGGTTGAGCATTTTTGTCGCTTACCCGTTTCATGAAAAGACTGGGAACGGGATGGAGCCGCACCAAACCTATTCACTAACACACCCCAGCTTCGGCAGCGAACAAGACTGTAAACCGTTTTTGACATAAAGAATAAGCAGTAAGGATTCACCAACAGCTCCGAGACCCACAGCTTTGCTCTAATAGGGATAAATAACTGCGGAAAACATTGCAATTACAAATTACCGAAAATCTGAGTCGATTACTCCAAGGTCAAGCAGTCGATAGTACAGCAAACCGAAACAGTGCTGACATTCCAAAGTCCTGCATGACAATGTCACGGCGTCCTGAAGAACTCTCTAATCATCGCTACTTTGTTTCAGGTCTATGGGCAGGGCCGTGGAGTATTCTCTAGGTACGGTAACAGCAAGCAGAAATAAGGGGCCAGAGATCTCGCGAAATAGCCGCAGCCATTTAGCACGGATCAAAGTACTTTGGTATGTTCACAAATCTCGAGCAGATAAGCAGTGTATCTAACTATTTACTTCAAACTTCCCAAAAGCTGAGAGAGGCAAAAGCCAAGTAGCGCCGCCACTTCCACTTCCGAGCAGCTAGAGCGATTAGCACCTTACACGTTAATTACGAGTACGAGTAGTTTCACTTTTTCTTCTTGCACTCTAACCTTTCGGGGCGGTTCTCTGAAGACTCAGAGAGACGCTCGCCAGACATTTCAACCCCGAAGACAGGAACATGACATTCATTGAGCGCGGAAACGCCTGTCGCCAACACTACAGCAGCCACTGTCGCAAGCTGGTTCAAGCGTGACTTCTGTGGCGTGAGCGCCTAGCGGATGTGATCTGAGAGCCAACCTCCCCTTCCCCCCCCCCAAGAAGTTTTCAGCAAGGGAGAAGACATGATTTTCGATGTTTTGGCGCAGGCATACGTAGTGCCAGGCGTTTTCCCGTTAAACCAATGCAGTACTCATATTTAGTACGTCAATTACGATGGAAGTGGTTGATCACCACTATTTTTAACGAGAAATTTAGATAAAACTGTAGCCTGATTTTCGAAAGTGAGCGAGCAGTGCTTTTCCTCTGGCTTTGCGCTTTACTTCTACACGAAAAATTATGCGTCACTTGTTGGATTAGCCCACGAGCGCAACCGTAAACTCCAATGAAAAGAGAGAGGCCAAACAGTGTGTGGCCGCGTGGCGCAATGGATAACGCGTCTGCCTACGGAGCAGAAGATTGCAGGTTCGAATCCTGCCGTGGTCGGTACATTTTGCCATTTATCTTTGTAAATCCCCGTGTCAAGCGACATCGCCACATCAGTGATTTTAATTTTTCATTCATTAGTTATGTTTACTACTTACTGTTACTTCAGTTTCAGACACACCCACACTAACAGATATTTCCTTATTAACTAATTCACTATCACTAGAACGTCTCAAGTAGGGGACATACCCGTTCGGGTGCAGGTTCATAACGAGACGTCAGGTCATGAAACGCCAGCATAGCTTCTTCCACATTAGCAGCTTGATAGCGCGAATTGTAAACAATACATCGTCCACTTTCAGCATGGAGTACACATGGACACTGAAATTTAGTCTGTGTCGCGAAAAGGAGCAAAAATATGAAAGTATTAGTATAGTAGTATAATATTGAAAGGCTACACAGCGGCGCTGCCTGATCTTGATTAACCAGACTGTTTCAAAAGCTGGCAGGGCAAGGAGGAAGTGGTACCTGAAATGCCACGGGCAACCCCTTCTGAAGCTTCGCGTCTTTCGCGTTTCAAGAGGGACTTTTGGGTCAGGTGTGGAGCTCTTTCAAAGGATTCAAAAGTTTAATGACAATGAAGAAGTCCTCTTGGTCTAGTAATATTATGACC